CGGGGTTTGGGTCTGCTTGGATCCCTCCCCCCGCTGTGGTGTGGTGTGGTTCGGGGTTTGGGTCTGCTTGGAGTCCCCCCCCCCGCTGTGGTGCGGTGTGGTTGGGGCTTTGGATCCGCCTGGGTGTTTCGCATAATTATCATCAACCAGCATCAATATCATCATCGAGGATTGCAATTGCATGGGGGGTGCCTCCTGCCCTGCCCTGCAGTGTGGCGTGGTTCAGACTGGGGTTTCCCCTCCCCCCTGTGATGTGGTGTGGTTCGGGTTTGGGTCTGCTTGGGCTGCGTTGTGGTGTAGTTCGGGGCATGCGTCTGCTTGGGGCTGGGGGTTGGTGACATCACGAGCATGATCATTATCATGGTGATGATGATCATCATGGTCATCACCACCATCATCATCCTGTTCCTTTCTTGGGTCAACTGCCACAGGAAGCGGGCCTGTCAGGAACACGATCCTCGGTCCTCGTTAGCACTTTTAATGCCCTCATGTCGAAATCCTAGGTGGAAAGTTTCCAGTGTCACAGGGATCGGACGAGATCCTCGGACAGTTGATGGTTCTGGAGCAGCCCTGTAGGAGAAGTGCGCACAGTCACAGGGATGCGACATGGTTGGACCATGTAAGACCTGTGCGTGCCGGGGGGGAGGAGGATGCCATTGGGGGGGCTCGGCGAACCGAGAACCGGGATCATATGTGTATATATATATATATATGTTTATATTCATATACACACACGTACATTTTGTATCTGTATCGATATATCAAGCTATGCATACACAGGTGGGCATCACAAAACCACCCCGCGGGCTCATTACGGCATTGATCCTGCAACTGCTCTTCGATTGTCTGTGACGGCTCAAGGGCTGAACACGGGATCTTGCAGACGGCCTGAGAACGGCGCGTATCTGACCTTTTTATCCATGGACTTGCCCTCGTTGAAGAAAACGTCAATGTATCCGCGTGGGCCCTTTCAATAAAGTCTCTGGTATGCAAGCATAAGAAGCACACAGCGACACCGCAAGATGCAAAACAGCCTCGCTGTCACCTCAGTCGTCAATGCTTTGAGCAAGTTTAGAAAGCCAAGCCAGGTGCGGACAAGCAACCGTCATCCACCAAACACCCTTTCATGTTCTCATCCTTCGTATCGGTGTTGACGCCATGCTCCTTTCCACAATGTGCCACTATGCACCACTCCAGGAGTAATCTGTGATGTCGCAAAACGCGAAAAAAAACGCTGTCCTCGCACATAAGCCTCCAGAACTGGTTCCCGATTGCATTGCCGGCTTTGCCCACCTGCACGGTGAGCTTTTGGCTCTGGAGTGCCATGCATGCATGACCTCTGCCACGCAGCAAATACCATCAAGTGCCTGTTCTTGGGAGTCTATGCGTAGTGGCACAACACCCNNCCCCCCCCCCCCCCCCGCCCCTCTCGCATCCAACATCAATCTGCTTTCAACCTAATTTGCTCGCCTTGAAGCACTTTCTAGGCTCATATGCCACCGTGGCTTTGATTAGTCTCCCAATGTTTTCACACTGCTGGGCCTGAATGTGGATGATCTCCCTTCCGCTCTTGGCCTCAAGGCACTGACGTTCTCCGCTGATGAGGATCCCTAGAACTCGAGAACATACATCTGGCAACAAGCACAGCCGAGACGATTTCGCCAGGGCAGGGCACATCAGCAGAAGCCGCTGACGATGGCAGGGAGACCATAATAGTACAAAACAAGTTAGATACTTTGAGATGATGCAGTCGTCGATTCGACAAAAACGCATTCAAAATGAGCCTAACTACGAGCCTAGTCCAAAATATACAAGTATCAACAAAGGTCTGGCACCCGATTATGGTCCCGAGCCCGGTTGTCAAGATCCTTGCTCCGCCTATCGCACTTCCGGACCCGCAGGGCAGGCTACTGGGTACCAAGACGAAAAAACTAAAATGACAGGGAATCCCGAGAAGTACAAGTGAGTGAGTGAATGAGGAGAGGAGAGAGTGTCAACCAGCACTCACGGTGTGACCTGCCTCCCACTCCGTCTTAACTTCTGCACGAGTTCGTGGAGAATGGCAGGGAAGCAGCGATTGCTCACAAGAGTCGATAACCTGCGGGTTTACAGCTGCGAACCGATCAAAGTCCTGCAAGCACCGGTGATATTGTGAGAGCAGCTCATCAACTGGGGGTGTCAGGCCAGGCCGCGAGCACGAACAGTGGGTAGGGGCATTGCCGCGGGCTAAAGTTTAAGGCGAAGCTCGCCAGCTGTACAAGCATCTACCAGGATCAAAAACCAGACTCTCCGCTTGTCAAGGTGGGCCAGTGCCCAGGGAGCAAGCTCCAAGTACAGAGGGGCGGATACAAGACTCCAGCTTGTCATACCGTACACCGACGACTCGCAGCTTGAAAATCTTCGCTCTTGACGATCGATAGACTGTGGCAGTTGCCCTGGCGCAGGAGCGACGGGGAGAAGTGGGCGTTCATCGGGCACGCTGCCCAGTGCCCCCATTCGAAGATGTTACCTCACCTATGGCCAAGCACATCCTGAAAATGGTGAGGAAGGGTGCTTTGGTGGCTCCATAAGTTCCAAGCCGGAGGAGATGATGTTTTTATTGCATTGGGGCCACTGAAGTTTAAATTTGACTTCGTCGAATAGCCCGAAACTACGGCCTTGTTTGTCATTTCCGGTCAGCAACGAGCTTCTTGCCGCGAGCACCGGCCTGATTCAACAAAACAGAGGACATGAAGCCGTGGAGGTTTAGCGCTGGCAGAGCTGTTATTGCTTATTAACTTATAGATACTTATAGTCCAGGCCCTTTCTGCTCACAACTCTGCAATATAAATTGCCAGTGGTGGTCCAGCCCTAGACATTCGAGCTATGGGGCTGTTGCAAAACTGACAGGTTTTTGAAGTTGCTGGTTGCTGTTTTGCCAGGCCAGTTCCTCGACAGTAAGAGTTTTGAAGAAAGCCAATCACGGAAGCATGCGGAAGCCAACAGATTGTGCATTCGGCCTGAATTTCTCGGCATCGCGACACAGGTGCTGGGGTTGCGGAATTCGGAATCCAGAAGCAGATTGAAGAAACAGCAGGCCCCCTTCAACAGTCGACGTTGCTCGAGCAAGGTCTGTCATGTCCTTGGCCGGTGGCTGTGCGCGAATTTAGCCGATTCGACGACATCGTTAGTGCGTCGTTGCGCGAAGCTGAGGCAAGCCCATGAACATAAGCCGATGAGAGACAAGGCATATGGTTGATAGTTTTAGTGACTCATGAGCACTCCACCGAAGCGAAAGGCAGGACTGGCTCAGAAGATGGTCATCATAACATGGAGGGGCATCATAGCCAGGAGCCCGCAAGTATGCTTCGCGGGCATGGGAACATCAAGTAATGCAAAGAGAAACCTCGCGCAGCTCGCTGGGCACGAACATGCCGTGCGCAAGCAAGTCTGATGCATCTGGCACTGATCTGACAACTGCGTTCTTCGAGTGCTCAGGCTTCGCCGTGTATAAAGCCGTTTTCAAAGTCGCCGAACCTGACCGCCGGCATTCAAACAAACGCACGGCCCACTCCGAGGCAGGGGATGGGAACTTGGATTGTTCGCAGCTTCCGAGGAGGAAGCTGAGCACTCTTCCCGAGGTGGTAAAACATGGTTGACATTCAAGGTGAGATCGTGCGGCACCACAGGCTCAACACTATGCGGCGAGGATGACTTGGATTTTAGATCCCTTGCATCCTCCCGCACCTTGCCAGACTGACTACACCTGCCTGTGCTCCTGTTGCCGGGTTTGCGTCCGTTTACCCGAGGTCGAAAACAAACCCCGGATTAAAACCAGCCCCCGTGGTATAGCTCACGAGGCTTTTGGGGAGCTCAACGGGACCTCATCATGTCTCAGTCGAAGTTGGGACGGACTTGCGAACGTGTAAGGCAATTGCGAAAGGTTTGCAGATGATGCGCGGGAATGGAGCGTGGCAGCGCAGAATCCGTCCTAGTAAGAGGATGGTCCGATCCCGATCCTGCGAAGCGATGACCACTTCGAATCCAGTTTACTCCTCCAAGATCTACACGTGCTCGCACTTCCAAAGGTGAGCAAGCTGCTCAGTCATTGCACGATTGTCTTCCTCAGGTGCCGCTATGTAATGTGAATGACACAAGTCCTGTGCTGGTCCGGTAGGCAAGTGAGACTCGAGCTCCAAGGAACCCAGGCGATTCGTAACGGACAGCCGCCCAGCATGAAGGCAGAGGCCCCCGGAACTATGGCAGAGGGCCGCAACATGCTACTGGTAGTTACTTGCAGACTGCACAATTTTCGCGCGTGGCTTATGAAGCCGACTATAGCTGGAAAGAAACAAATTTTGTCACTCCTTCATGTGAGTTCGTGGCAGCCGGCATGGAGTGAAGTCCAGCACTAGGGTCTAGGCGAACTTGGTCTCATGGAGATCCATATGCCCGGCCAGCCCTGCAAGCAGTCTCCACGCGCTCCACATAGACTCTAGACGCTGTCTGATAGCATCGCAAGCGCACTTAGTCCTGTGCCCACAGGCAACTGGGTCGCCTAGTTCAAGGTGAGATCATCATGAGAACAACGCCGGCGCACTCAGCATATGGCGGATGAGCTGCTTCTAAGACTAAGAGGTCATCAGAATGCTCAGGTCTGCGGTGCTAAGGCTTTCCCTCAACGGCTTCGTGGCTGGAATGTGCCTCTGTCTGTGTGTGTGATCAGGACCCCATCTTCCACCTGCTTGGCACAGCGAAGCTCCGTGTACTTGACCGGCCATAGCTTGAGCCAACTGGCCGGCGCACGCTTGTCAACGCTCCCTTGCTGCCGCAGCCGCTGTAGTGTATCGAAGGATTTCAAACTCGTTTGTCGAGGCGAGCCACTTGCTGCTGCAAGTTGGATCAGCGACCTAGGCAAGCGCACAGTGCGTACGACATGCTTAACATGCTGCACTGCGTTGCAGTTTGTTGGAGGTTTTGCACTGCTGAAAAGGACTCTGCTGAGACACCGACAACTCTTGCTAAGTGGCATCGCTGCGTAAGCGGTAGACTTTGCAGGCCGCTTCGCAATGTTTCACCAGCCTCAGCTGCACTGCCACAGGAGGAGGCCCGTCCGGTCCGGCATGTCTGCAAGAGCAGGGCCCAGTGAGCAGAATCTCTTCTGCTTTCTTGCGGCGCAGGCGCATCTGAAACGGGCGTTCAAGCTGCAGAGTTCGAAGTACAAAGCTGTGCTTAACAGTTGCCAGCATTAGCCAACACTTGTGCCTGCGCTTGCGCCGTTCTCTTCATTGCCTGCTGAACCTGACGCGGGTCTTCAGGTCTTGCAACATTGCTATGGCACTGGTCCGGACTTACCAATCCTGCCTGAAACTTGAGGGCCTCAACTTCAGGACTCACCACGGCAACTGCCTGCATTGGCCGCAGATGCGCTGCGATGCACGCCTTTGCGAGGACGCGTCACTGACGCGCCCCCGCTTGGTCATTGGTCTTTTGTCTGGCTGAGTGAACTGGTGCGTGAGTGGCTTGTAGTCCTTCTTTCGCATGGTCCAAGACGGTCCAAGGTATGATATAAAATGGATGAACGTGTGCTCGTTCGGCTTCAGCCCAGCTATGGCAAAGTTGCTGAAACCCCTGTGTCCATATTCCTGCTGTCTCGGGGGGTACCGGGCAGCAAAAACATGTTTACGATCTATTTTACATTCTGTCAAGGTAATCGGCTCTCGCGCTTCGTATTGCAAATGATGGGGTTATGCATCCAGCACAGACTGGTCCGATTCAAATCTCTGATCGAGGTGGCAGCATGGATAAAAGGCATTGCTCCAAGGATATAAGGATTGTGCATCGCTGTGGTAACTTTGATGCAGTTGCACTCCGATTTCGGTACTGAAATGCAACTGCTCCGCCGGATTTCAGACGAAACAATCCGGCCCCCGTCGTCAAGGTCCAGCGATGTTCAGCGCACATGCGCTACAGGCTTTGGCTCTGATTTCAGGGTTGCGCCAGTGGGCGGGCAACAGAGGAAGTGGCCGCCGAGACCTCCTCGGGCATTCGTGCTGCAGTTTGACCCACGAATCCCGCACAAAAACGTTAGTATTTCGGGACGACGAACAGAGGAAGGATGCCCACGGTGCCGCCGAAATCCGCCGAAGCTCCCCAACCCTCAAAACTGGGCAAACTCGCGTTGCCGGGCTTTCGTGGGCAAGAATTTCTGGAGGTAGCCTTGTCGCAATATGTCGCAATGAGCATTTCGGTTTACATGCCAAGCAGTGTCGATTGCCGCAGCGCGCCGGAAAGCGCACATGGGGTTGCCAGCCACTGTGACTCACCAGCAACAGACACGATGACCTCACTGGCCGCTTCCGTGGCAGTATCTGGTGCATCGTCACGTTGTGGGCTTGCCTCCTGACTGCTCTTGTGTTCGCTACAGACGACGACAAAAATCTATCCTTGCACCAGTACATCATAGCTCCTGCTGTTGTCCGTGAGCAGACAGAAGTTTCTGCATAGCCTCACACGAAGTCATCATTGCATTGAAGTGCTTGGCTCGCCTTCCCCGAAGCCTGTCGCAGCTCGTCTTCCGCGAGGTCAAAGCCAGTTTCAGCTTGAAGGCCGTCATCACTTTCTTGCAACTTCACGGCTGTTTCCTCACTCTCAGATGGGATATCTGATATCTGTGAAGCTACGTCTCAATGGAACGCTCGTGGATACTCTCGTGGATCATGTTTCGAAAAGTCCTGCGGTTGCGCGGAAACAGTGCTGCCTTCAACCCTCGCAGAGTCTCCTATTTGCTTTCGCCGCCTGCAATGCAAGACAGACAAGTTGACCGTAGCCGAAATTCAACATCTTGCCTCTTTATCCGTCTTTTGGCGGCAACCGCCACCGGTCGCATTTCTCCAACCTGCTGGCTCCTTCGTACAGAGACACTCCAACTGTGAAGGCCAATTGCCCCTGAGCCTGCCAAATGCCCGCGGATCCACAATGGACTGATCTCCTCGGAAAACCGCGCGTGGACAAGCTAACAGTCGATGGTTGCTGTATGGATTCAATCTTCATGTCGACCTCGAAGTATCATAGCAGCGAAAGCATCCAGCATCTTGAAACATCGAAGCCTACCTGATAAGACGGTCTTGGCAATTGTACTTGGGGAAGCGCCATTCTCCCAATCATGGGCTATCAAGCGCTGCGTAAGCTCCTTCCGAGTACCTGCAATCTTCAGTACATGTATCACTCAAGCGTAGATGGTTTAAACTTATGCTGCATGGATGGTGGTGTGCACTGAAGCATGTTGGAGCACCGACTGGGTCAAGACCTCTACGGCGAACCTCGCACCGCAGTTCTGGCACCTGCCCAAACATCTCGACAGAGTTCGGGCAGCTTGGATGCAAGTACGTACAGTATGTAGTGCCATGAAGCTTGCAAGATGATAACATTGTTCTGCTTTACATTACACTGGCCCACACAAAGATACACCCTTGTCGTATCGCAGTGCCTTGAACGACCTCATTGCGCGTAGGAGTGTCCCTGCGTAAGCAAACGTACGAGTAAACAAGGACTCGACCATCTACGAGCAGCTTCGATCTGTCCTGGTGGCACGTAGACGCACTCGGCCACGTAAGCACGAAACGCAATCAGCCATTGTTACATGGACAGATGGTCCCCCCCCGCCTGCCCCTGACCCATGTAAAATATTGCTGTGGCCCTGTGGTATACTCCCTCTCCTTGTTGGCCCTAAGTCAATCAATCATTTGCGTGGTGGCTTGAGGGGGGGGGCCTCCCCCCCTTTCCCCCCCTTCAACTATTGTGAAAGCACCAGAATGGTCTTGCGCGCAATTTTGATCTAGTTCTCGACTACTTACGTGAATGGTAAGCGACAACTCCCGAAGTCTCCACAGAGCTAGCGTTCCGCCAACGTTTCTACATGTACATGCCATCGATTAAAAATTCCATGACAGGATTGGCATGCGGGATGCATCCTGCAGATTCGGGAAGTGTTGTCACGTCGTGTGTGCGCGTGTGGGTGTGCATGCATGCACGCATGCCTGCCTGCCTGCGTGCGTGTGGGTGTGTGTGTGTGTGTGGATGCGTGCGTGCATGTATGTGTGTGTGTGTCTTTGTGTGCGCGCGCTCGTCCACTCCTGTGCCGAAGGATCAAGTGACCGCGGAACTTGTCACTACAGGGGAAAGGCTCTTTGACGCTACCGTACCCAACGAAGCTGTGCATCAGAGAGGGAAGCCTGGACTGATCGGCCTGGTGCATTCAAATTTGTAATATCCATCACTGCGCTGTGCACTCTTTCATCGTCTGTATTGCCTCGCAGTTCGGAAGTGGCAGGGAGCCAAACCCAGAACGCCAGAAGGAATGTTATGCTCACTTGAAAAATTTGATTTGAACGCTGATGTGACTCGTGTCACGTGTGTTACACAACGGCAATGATTGGATCGAAAAGGCCAGCCAAACGCTGGCTGGCATGTGGGCACCGTGCCTTTGCCTTTAGAAAGAATTCTGTCTATCCCGTCGCTGGCCTTGAGGAGGCCATACAAACCGCCGCTGCTATGTTCTCCGGACATTAATACACCCTTGGAAGGTCAGCGCAACAGTACCTGCTCTGCGTGCTGGTTCTCAAGCTTGCGTACTTCTTGAGTCATGGCATATTCTATATAATGCATTACTTAAAGTGATTGCAGTTCCATCCTGCACCATCACCATGCAGAAACAGCTACAGTGCGCTCAAGACGGGCTCAGCTGAGCCTGAGCCTGGCTGCAACAAGCACTTCGGCACTCTTCTTACAACCCACTTGCAGCTCTGGACCGCCTTGAGACATGGCAACTCTGCCACTCTGCAAAGAAGCTTCTACTGTACATGGTATCAGCCTGCCTGCTTTTGTGCACACACGCTTGCGCGGCAATTCTTGCTGGGATTTGATGCTGTTCTCAGTTTCCAGCAATTCGATTACAGCGCGTCTCACTAGCATCTCATGCGATTTGATGAGCACCAGTGTGAAGGTGCATGACCACCTGGTTGACCAATTCACTACGCCTTCGGGCCAGGCGCCTGTACACGCATCTTGTTGCGCCGATGTTCTACAGGGTTGAATGTTACCACTAGAAGCTTGATGCAACAACCGAAGCCACATGTCCGATGTGCATCGTTTGACATCCAAGCTTCAGGCTTGACCGACAGGAACAAAGAATTCACTCATCTGCTGCATTGGTTCGATGGGGTAGGATGGGGTAGTCCGACTGCAACGAGACTGTGGCCGAATGCTGCATAACTGCGCATCGGTGAACCACTTTGTGGTCGCAGGCTCGCGGCTGATTCGCACGCATCGGGTCATTTACTTGTGAAACGAAGAATCTCCTGCTCCGCCTGCTCCTGCATGCACTTGAAGTCGATGTTCCACTCCTCGGCTCACGGACCGCGGACGGTGACCATCAGCACTTAGCGGCCCTTTCCACATTATGCCTAAACAAGCTTGGAGACTTAGTAATCAATAATACAAAGAAATCAAGCACGACACGTGATTGTCTGAAAAGCAGATGCAATCACCTTTGCGCATGTGATGGAACGTCTCAGCGGAAACAGCTGCAACATTCATTCCCGGCAGGCGGACGGCCGTATTATGGATTCGTGTTTGATTCACGGCTGCGGCTTCGCAGAACTTCCGGCACGTACTTGTCGTTATCTAGTTGAACCATTGGAACATATATGGAACTGAAACACGATCTCTTTAGGACATTACGTCGAGAAAGTTTAAACGAACCTTCAACAACGGATCCCGCAGCTGTGTTCAAGCTCAACATGACCGGCTGTGCCTGCTCTAAAATTTGCCCCGACGCCTCACAACATTATGCTTGGAACCTTTCCCGACACTTGAACGTAACTGAGGCCAGTCAACGCCAGGGGTGTCTGTGGAGTTCGCTTGCATTGGTCTCGCTTGAACCGGAACTTCTCAGTGTCCGCACAACAGTGCCTAACTGTGCCAACACTGCTGTGCGGCTCAAGCTTCCGTGTCACTGTTTGCTTGAACTTCTGCCTCTTCTGGACGCCAGGTGTGAGTACCTGGTGCCCGATTTGGACTTGGACATACAGACTTACAGTGGTTCTACATCTGCTTGCTCTGAATGGACTGGCACCACGACTCGGAGTAAGCGCACTCCCCTCTGTCCAGTAGACCAGCCAGCTTTGTGAGCATCAGCTCCTGCAGCACTTCTCGAGAAAGCATGCCTAGCTAGATGGCCCTTTCCTCTGCTGGGGAAAGTCAAAGCAACACATGGCGGCGCATACCACACAAGTGAACAGTGTGAGGTGGCTTCAGTGGACTGGAGGATAAGGATGTCCTTCTTGGAGCGGTAGTTGTAGATCGCATCACTAATGTCAGCAAACTCCTTCTCCAACTCACCTGGATTTCGAGTTCGATGCATTCATGAACTTGATCTGCACACACCACACAAGGCCTGGTGCATAGCATCAGACTGCAGAGTGGCTCAGCCGACCATAGAAACCCAAGTTTACAACCTTCCAGCATCTTGTTGTAAGAGGCCGGCAGACATAATCATGAAGAACCTGGGTGCAAGCAGAGCTGGTCAGCAAAGCTATGCACCAGCTAAATTCCCATTAGACTCTCTCTTGATAGGCGGACGCCGGCAAGCTGCCTCGTTCTGCTGCTGGAAGTGCTGCTGGCGTTGAACGCTCTCCGCCCTTTGTCCAACACCGTCACGCAATGACATCATGCACAAGCCAAAAAAGCTTGCCAAGCGGGTGGCAGCAGATTCTGATAGTACTTGCGGTATGACTTGTTCTCCAAGATCTTCAGCACCTTCCCAGCAAAGTTACGACTACAGAGTTTGCACTGCGGTTGAAGAAAACCGCGACCTGATCCAGCCGGCGATAAAATTTGAGCAGCCGCTCCCTCGCAGGTCCTTTGGCTTGGCATGATCCTTCCTCTGCTGCTCTATGCTGCTCTGCTGCACTGTGACCATGACCTTTCAGCTTGTCCTTGGATACATCCTGCACCAGGATGATGGCAACATCAAGCACGGTTCTTCACACAACGAATCGGCCTTGCCTGCAAATCGTTCGTGCGTAGCACTTCAACAATTGGGGATTCCTCCAGTACCTGTTCGCGCCAGCAAAGGTCTTGTCTCAGCTTGATCCCATAACATCCCATATTGCAGCTGGATGTGCCACCCCAAATTGCATGGTAATTAGTCCGGTGGAGGAACCACGCGCAGCCTTTAGCTTGCGGGGAACTCGTTCGATGCTTCATGGTCTCGATACATTGAGGTCCGCATGCCTTACAAGTACTGCGGCGCAATCCTTGCCACCACATCGTCTTCGACCCTGCTGTCTTGGGTCTTGCAAGTCATTCATGTCGAACTTCTCTGTTGTGAAAACTCTTCCGGTGATTCTGATTCCACTCAATTGGCCTGCGAGTATTTTGTGAATTGGGCAATCGTCCACTATGGCAGGCCGGCGGGATACTGGCGGATCAGCTTTTGTCTTGAGCAGCGTGTATGCATTTGGCTCTTCAGCGCAAGATGCAACAGAAGCAGCTGACCGCAGCGAGCCTCCTCCTCCAAAGCCACCAGCAAACAGTCCAGCCAGACCTGCCCACGCCCCGGCATGGCTTGCGCGTGCGTGCATGCGTGCGTGGGTGGGTGTGCGTGGCTGGGTGTGGGTGTGTTTGTGTGCACGTGTCTCTGTGCGTGTGCGTGCGCGCACCTCGCTGTACTTGAACCTCAATGTGGGATGAATGCATTATTACTACACTTTGCGCTACAAAGCAAATCAAGGCACCTCCTGCCCGGTTATCCGGATCGTTTTTACGATGTCTGCCATCTCGTCAATGTCCCAACCCTCCTTTCAGGGAAAGGATGCTGGCACATCTGTCAATCATTAACCATACTGGGAGGAGATCTCAGCAAGGAGCTGCCTGCAATATGTCTTCTTCCTGAAGCTGCAGAGACTCGTCGCGGCCTTGCTGCAAGTCCAGGAAATCCCAAAATGTCAATAATGCCATGTCATAAGGCCGTGAAAGAATGCGATTGGGCTGAAATCCTGCATCACTCAGAATCATGTGTCAGCGGTGATGTAACGGTTCAGTGGCAAAACAGCACGATCTCTGCCTGACGGCCTCATGCCGCAATGGAGGCACCGAATTTTCAACACCAAGCTGCAAGCCTTCCAATTGCTGAGTAGCCGTGGCCAAAGCGGATGTCTCCTGACATGTGTTCTGCGGAGCCTAGAGAGTTCATTGTGGTGAGAACCAACGGTTTTGTCCGACAACGGTAATCCTCCCCGACATCTGCTCTACTTATCATGTATATACTACTGTATCCGGACCGGCACCTACTGATGGCCTAATGTCACGGACTGCCATCCATGGAGCTGGCTGTGGATCTGGCTGTATCAGCTGAACATCTTGGTTGAAACGTGATATTGGCCCCAGAAATCTCGGCTTCGCAACAGACGGCCTGGCGACACGCGCAGAGACATGGGCAGCCACTGTCTACTCTTGAGATGCGACGTGCGAAACGATACCCTTCTCCAACGAGGCGGCGCTTCCAAGGTGTCGTTTCGATGAGCTGGGGAAGATACACCGATTTTTCAGTGGCCTGGAAAGAAGGTAGGGCATGCTTGACCAGCCTGGCTACCCCGAAACCCTTTTGTTCGGCAGATTGAAGCGCAGCACTTTCAGACCAACGAAGCCCTACAGTAACCTTCCTCCGGCCTTGGTTGTGGCATGTTCAGGATAGTTCGCCCTGTTGAGGGTGTGGGCAGAGGGCCGGAGGTCACAGGCCACAGTCCTGATCCTGCCTCCAATGTCAATGACGATGTACGAAACGGTCTGGAAAACAAACATACACGGAAATACAAGCTGTCACTCCATCTGAAGCAACATGAAGCAACCGCATATTCGCATCTCTGAAGTGTCATTGGCCAGGTCCTTCGGAGCTTTTCCTTCAGGCCATCGTGAAAAAAGGAAGCCATCAAGCCTGGCGGAAATTCGAGCCGATAACCATCTCGATTGCTGCGCTCTGACTCGGAATCTTCTCGTGTTGTGCCCACAATGCACTCAAAAAGCTAGCAGGCGCCTCTTCTTCACTCGAGTTTTTGCTAGTCTGGATCTTTCCTTCAGTACCACATTGAACGTACAATCGGGGGCAACAGATCGGAATGCAAAGCATACATGCCTGCGGTATGCCTCGTGGTGATGCAAGGTCTAGCTGCAAACAATCGTGCTACATGTACAGACACTGTCGGTGAGCACTCGAATGCCGGTTATTCGATGACTTCCATGTGTTGATTGTCTGCACAAGCGGACCGCTGCTCGATACGACGACTGCCCGCCTGCGGAACGTCCTCAAACAGTTGTCGGTCTTCTAGACCTCGATATCGACAAGGGGTTTTTGAGGAAGGCAGCGTGTATGGTTCTTGCATTGCATTGGCGACTGCACTGCCTTCGCCGTCCTCTCCCTCGCTGTTGACACTTTCTTCCTCATCCTTTTCCTGAGCGCCCAAGGTGAAAACGTGTATCACACTTCAACAGCTGCTTGAAAAGGTCATGCCCGTTCCGCTGCCTCCTGCATCCCATCCGCAAGCGATTCCTTTTCGACCTCTGCAATCGCACCTGGCGACTTTTTTGTTGGCCAAAAAACTGAAAGACCCTGCACCATCCGAGCCATGCACCGTGAGATCGCCAAAAGTTCCGCACTGTCGGCCTGTTCACCGACTCCCCAGACTGCGACAGCCCGGCAGGGGCAGGGAACTGAAAATGCTTTGGCCTCATGGCCGGTGTCTTTGTCGTGGCAAACTCGGCCGAGCTTTGGCGACCTCTGTGATGCTGTGTTGCAGTGGGCCCGTGCCCGTGCATGCCCGCGATCTCTCGGGGTGTTGCCGGGCTTCACCTTCTTTCTTACACCGACCTGGGCACAGGCGGGTGATAGGCCCGCGCCCACAACTTGGCGACACGGTTTGTCGAGTCAGGAGCACATCTGCAGCATACCTGCCGTCGCGAAGCTCCCCTAAACTCAGAGCATCTCGCAAGTCAATGTATGAAGTGCTCATTTCCGAAAACAAACTGCAATTGGCTACTGATCAGGTCACCAGGTGACACTGTACCTGCTATAGCTTGTTGTCAGGTTCATTCTAAAGCAATCTTCAGCATATGGATCTTGTGTTGGTTAGGACGAGTACCGCTGCTGCAGATCTCAAGGTCCGGCAAAATCAAAAATGCACGGCCTGAGCAAGCGTCTGCATGAAGGACCGCTTTGGAGCATCCTGACAACTTACGTCTCGACGTACCAGCCGTGCGAGAATGGAGCTATAAAGCTGGAGGGGCCTGGAAGACGATTGTGAGAGAGCCGTCCTTGTCTGGCCTCCTGAGGTGCGATCGCTCTGAGAGCTGAAGCCGGCCGTAACCCACGTGACAGCACTTTGTTTCATCGCTCGTGAAGGCAACCCGCACTCCCCGAGACAATCTGAACATCTTGAGCAGACAGAACTGGCAGCTTCTGTCGTCCGAAAGTCTCTGATCAGCCCGCTTTCTCAGCTGATGCTTGGCGCAGCCCTCGTTCGCATAGTAGGCCAAGCGGTACAAAGCATGGCAGGAACTAAGGCCCCAGCAAAGACCGCCTCGGTTCTAAAAGCACCAGGCTACGCAGGAGCAGCATCCTATGCATGGCAGTCTGATAGTAACAAGGCAAGGGGCTCTATGTGTTCGTAATCATCTTCGGACAGCTCCGTTCGCCAGTCCATTTTCTGCTTGTTCACCTCTAGTGCTTCAGGGTCGCAGAGTTGTGCTGGCAGCGGTTCCCATGCCTTGGAGACCACGTCCCCCAACAAGACGTTCTTCTGCACAGCGGGGCCGGTTCCCAGGATTTTCTTGACGAAAACCTCTCGGGCTAGGCCAGGCTGGCTTTGTTGTTGCACGATGCAAGTGTGTTCTTGCTCATTCAGCTTATGGTGAAGGTTGGATTGGGTCGAATGTTGTGAGGAAAGGCGGCGGAGGTACAGTGGATGTTGTCCATTTCGTCCATTCCGAACAATACCATGCAGGCATATCATTTTTGCAATATTTTGCGACAGTATACGGAATCATGTGCTTTAAAATGGTGGGCAGCAAGCGATATTTGAGACTGCTTTTGCCAAGCGGGGGGGGGTTGACTTTTTTGTACACAAAACGCCATCTCTACTGGCCACTGGTCTTCCTTCTCGAGACAACCAGCTCTTTTTTCTGGACTGTTGGCGTCGATGCAGGGTTTGGCTTGCGGTAATGGATATTAACGAAGTCAGAAAACGGTGGAACAGTCGCAACATGTCGCAACAACCACAACCTTGAGAGCCATCAAGAGCACTCATCGCGTTCCTCTTCTCCGGACCGGTGCAGCATTCAGTCGGGTAGCGACGAGTATGTACTGATACGTAGTGCATTCGGCATGCAGGGCAGGACAACTTGAGGTTACGCAGCAGTCGCTCCTGGGAGCTCACAGTCCAAAAACGAAATCATGGAAGATCAGATATCTAAAACAGAAGACCTGCCGGAACCCAACGGAGGCTGGAGCTAGACACGGCAAGGAGCAGCTGCATTGTGTGAGCTTCGGCATCCACTTCATGAAATTGTGGAATGCTGACCGACTAGGCGAAGGCTGTGGACGACTGGCCGATGTATGCAAGTCATGCTACAAGCTCACAAACGAAGGTTCTGGTGTCGACATGCGATACGCATCAGGACAGCCCAATTGCCAGGCCCATAATTTAGAGACTTCCATAATAATATGGGATCGGTACCGCACCGCAGATACCGCTAGAACACTCCGAATAGCCGAAAGCGTTCCAGGTGCACTAAAGCATTCTACCGGTATTGCAAAAGAATGTACAAGCACTCGAGGAGCATTACCGGGGTACTGAACAAGAAATGCACCAAAGCGATGAACTATGAAGGAAAACACTGAAAACCACACTCAAACAGAAGCAAATGGTGTCCCTGCGTGGCACCCTGCGGCTGACTATGGGTCACTCTGCGTGTCGAATGCTTTGACACACTTTGAACTGGATGGCTTTTGATTGAGTTGCATGCGAATACGAGACCAGACATGGTAGGTACGAGCGATTCGCTGGCACCATCGGCACAGGAGCATCGCACGGCCAAGATGGAGGCAGTTGGAAACAGACTGGCAGCTTAGAAATGCTTCCAATGGTATTTGCCAGAGCTACATTGCAAACACAGCATGTGAATGTGCAAACAAGGCATGTCGCAATTTCACAGCAGCATAGCAATCAACCTGACCATGCTTTGTTGACACTAAGAATGACTTTCATCAGTTCATAGCAGATCCACACTCGACTCGAAACTTGACGCAGAAAGGTCGACGGTCCACCTAAAAACTCACTGTGGGTCCTGGCTGGTAGCCGACTCCGGTCTTTAGCAGACTGGTGTCATAACATGTTGGCGCCTTTGCGGTAGCGGACCCAACTGCAAGTCGTTCGTTAGTGCCTGCATTGGCCTGAAACGCAAAATTCAGGGTGAGTGCATCCTTAGTTAAAATGCTGGGGCTTCGTTTGGGGCTTCCGCTCCCATGCAATGCAGCTCCGTTTGTTGGGGTAGACTCTTGGACGGGATTCCTGTCCCATGGTTCCAATGTTCAGCAAGGCTGCAGGCACCTTCCGGCCGGACCCGTCCCCGTGCTTTTCACTGTCTGGGTCGTGTTCGCAAGTGTGCCAGGTCCACTTGTCTCGAGGAAGAAGGGTCGGAAGGCAAACTTCTCTCAATTGGTGCCGAGTGTAATTGGTTGCGAGTCCCAGCATATCAACTGCAAGTACCAGATATGCCAACCAAGAAGCAGACTAGTTGCTGGAGCAACCTTTTGAAACGCTCCGGGTAAACAACGACGGTTTCGACACTGCAAGCATGTCCATCGTCATCGAGATGCATGGGCGAACCCGCACGGGTAAACTCTTCATGATCGATGATCACAACATATAACTACCGCAACCATTGAAATCCGCCACTCCCGGCTTTCAGAGAAGCGCGCAAAGCACTGCCTACCCGGACAAGTTTGTGCAAGCTTCATAGTGGTATTGTGCTTCCTACATGCACTGGCACACGCTCTTGCCGTTGCGATGGCCATCTGATCAGGAGGTAGGCAGTATGTGAAGGCAATGAGCGACATGCTTAAGGTGCACCACGTTACGGGCAACTTGGCCAAACGGCAACGCCTGATTCCCTGCACATGTTTTGGGATCCGTGAGATCCCCCGTGTACAGGCGAATGCGCTGCACAAGCTGTGAGAGGAAACTACAACTCCAGAAAAGGTCTGTGTCCCTGCGCCCCTGTGTGTGTGTGTCTCTCCGCCCGTCCATCCCAACATTCACACAGGTGTGTGTGTGTGTGTGTGTATGTGTATGTGTATGTGTGCGAGTGCGTGGGTGCTTCTAAGGTGCATATATATTATACCTATGCGATTGTATATATACATACATATCTGTATATATATATATATATATGCTACCCCCCCCCTCAGTTATCTACCTTTTTCGGTGGCTTT